AATACTCTCAACAATAAAGATAAATTTAAAAAGTAAAAAATATGTATATATATATTATTTATGTACTTCCATCCTCCACCTAAGGACCACCTATAGCACTTACTGAGGGTCTACTATGTATCAGGCATTTTATAGATCAAGTCTGTTTTACTTCTCACAGCAGCCCTGTGAAATAGCTGCCATTAGCCCCATTTTACAAATGAGAAAGCTGAGGCAGAGAGATGGAATAACTGGTCCCAGAACAGGTCAGTGGCAGAGCCAGAGTCTGATCCCCCAGTCTGTTGGCCTCCTGACTCACACACTCACCACAGTGTTTCTCAACCTTGGCACAGACATCTGGAGCGGGATCATTCTTTAGGGAGGAGTGAGGGTGTGGGGAGTGCTATCCTGTGCATTGTAGGAAGTTCAGTGGCATCGCTGGCCTCTACGTGCTAGATGACTGTAGCACCCCTTTCCCCCAGATCTAACAACCAAAAATCTCCCGACATTGCCAAATGACCTCTAGACAGAAAAACCACCCCAGCTGAGAACCACTGATGTATCAGAAGCTTTGGCTGGGCTTTCGGTTGCTGCCTTAGGCCAGGAAACTGGGCTCTGCCTTTCAGGGGTCCCGCTCTGACTGCCACCCTCCCTACAGGGTTAGGGGTCCCTGGAGTCAAGGAGATGTGTCATCTGCAGCATCGACCTTTCTGAACCACACTGCATCTTCCAGGGCTATGTGGGCTTGTGGCCAGTTCTCTTGGCTGCTGGAGTGAGCATTCCTAGCCGAGAGGTGGCCAAGGGTTTGTCCAAGGCAGAGGGAGGTGAGCAGAGCTAGATACGCAAACTCGGTGTCTGGACGCAGGTGCACCCAAGGCCCCTCCGCTGCAGGAGGGTTGTCAGAGGCGGGAAGGAAGGTGGTGGGCTCTGGGCAGGGGTCTGTCTTTGTATTTTGACTCACCCTGTAAATATTAGAGCCAGCCCGCTCCACACCCCAGCTGCTGGTGTCACTTGTGGGAGTGTGGTTATCGGTCATACGTCTTTGACACAGCAGTCTGAAGAATGCATTCACTTCTTTTTGTGGAGTAGAGGATTCAGTGCTCAGACACCTCCCTCTTTGCCTCCTCTTGCCCTGTCCTCAGGATGAAGCTCCGTAACAGGTGTGGTTAAATCAATACTCCAGTTTATATTATTATTATGTAAACTAATGTTTACTGATGGGCCAAGTTGGGTTCTTTCATTATAGTTTTCCCTGAATAAATTTTTGGTTTTCGTTCTCCATGTGTTTCATTTTCCCGTGTTCCTCATTTGTCCCCAAATCTCACAGTACTAGGAACTCACTCTGTCTGTGGTCAGACACCATGCTCCAATTTTCTCCCTTATTATAGCCTCACAGCCACCATCTGAAGCTCCCTTTTAATGTTACTTAACAAATCCCTTTGCTCCTATCCACCAAAGGGTCCTCTTTCTGGATCCCACCTACTTCTCTTTGTTGTTTTGCTTCATTGTTGTGCTGGAACACATCTGCCAGTAGCTTTCTAAAAAAAGGTAGATGGGAGATGAATTCGCAGATCTGCCAGCATTTTTACTGTCCCCTCACACGCGGTTGATAGTCTGACCAGCGAAGGTGTCTGGGCTGAAAGTAGCTCTCTGTGAATTCTGCCGGCTTGGCTTCATTGCCTTCTAGATTCCAGCTGGCTGTTGAAAAAAAATCTAATGTTACTCTGCTCCCCACTTCTTTATATGTTGCATTCTCCCTCCTCTGGTAGCTTTTAGATGTTCTCTGTCTGCTGTGTCTTGAAACCACACAGTGATGTACCTTTAGGTGGGTCTTTTTTCATTATGCTGGCCCTAGGCAGACCCTTCCAATCTGAAGGGTGACAGGTGGCTCTCCTCCAGCTTCTGTCTTACTCCTAGACCAATGAATGGCGAGGACTATCGTCAAGTGGAGCGTGTCTGCCCAGCCCCAAAGCATTTAAGTTCAATGTATTTTAAGGCACCACGCTGGCCAAAACAGGTTGGACACCCAAATGCAGCCTCCAGGCATCTAGGCTGTGCCCTCCGTTGAAGATATGGTTAAGAGTATGGGCTGTGAAGACTGACGGACAGACAGACCTGGTTTTGAATGTTAGCTTCTTATCTGTAAAACAGTCAGTTTCAAATCATAGAGCTGTTGTAAGGAATATATGAAATAATGCAAGTAAAGTGCTTAGTGCAGGGCCTGGCACATAGTAAGTGTTTAATTTATAATAGCTGTTATTATTGTGGTGAATCGGAAAGTAGCGACGGTGATGAATTTTTTAATACGTATAAAAGCAGCCTTCTCTCGAGCCAATTTATGAGCTCGCTCACGTGTGGAGCGGTGGCGCCACCTCATGCTCATAATTAAGAACCGCAGTGCGCCCAGCCAGGCGTGGCTCAGCGGTTGAGCGTCGACCTAGGATCCTGGCGATCGGGGTTCGATTCCCGGCCAGGGCACATGCCCGGGTTGCAGGCTGCAGCCGATCAATGACTCTCTCATCATTGATGTTTCTATGTCTCCCTCTCCCTCTCCCTTCCTCTCTCTGAAATCAATAAAGATATATTTAAAAAAAAAAAAAGAACTGCAGTGCAGTGAGAAAGGCCTAACAATGGTTCAGAGCCAAGTGGGGCTTTAGGGTCCAACAGATAAAGGTGATCATCATCCCGGAAAAGGAAGTCTAGAAGCTCTGAGATGTTAAGGGAAAGACGGGATTCAAACCAGCAGCCTGATTTCGTAGCTATTACACCATACCAAGATGCCATTATGCCACCACATAGCACAGTGTCCGACCCACAGCCACCTGACTCTCAGTGCGGGGTTTCCCTTCTCTGGTGGGCCAGCAAGACACAAGGAGAGAGAGAGGGGGAGGGAGAAGTTCAGCCTCCACAGACACAGTCAGAATTTCACACAAAGAAAAAAATTAAGAGCCTATTTTAATTCCAGCATAGGAGCAAGTTTTGTGTTGTACACGTTAGGTATTGTTTGTAGTCTGAGTTATGTGTTAGAGGGTGCTACATATAATTTTTTCAGGCGTGAGGCCTCCAAAGGTAGTAATCTGGCTGGTTTTCTGTTACATGCAGCCAAAAGCATCTTTCCCAGCACAGCCAGATCCTCTGTGGGTCCGTCAGAGACTAGGAAAATTCCCTTCTTGCCACAAATCCCAAATCTGAATCCCACAGCTCCAGGGCCCCCTCCCTTTCTCTCCCCTGGGAAACTCCTGCTGAGACCCCCAAGGCAGTGGTCAGTGATCATAGCCTGCTTTGGGGCTTCTGAGATCATCGATCAAAATGCCCAGGGCTGTGTTGCAACTGCAGTAATGATACAAATCTCCATTTCTCAACTGCTTTCCACAGCTGGGCTTTCCATAAGCTTCAGCATTTAATATGACCCTTACTACCCCAGGAGCTACCTGGTTTCTATTACCTTCCCCATTTTTTTTACCCCTACCCGAGAACACGCTTAGAGAGAGGAAGGGAGAGAGAGGGAGAGAAAGAGAGAAACACTGATGTCAGAGAGAAACATCAATCGGTTGCCTTCCATACATGCCCCAACTGGGGATCAAACCCGCAACCCAGGTATGTGCCCTGACCGGGAATCGAACCAGTTACCTTCCGGTAGGCAGGACGTCACTCACAAAACTGAGCCACTCCTACCAGGCACCTTCCACATTTTAGAGATGAGGAAACTGAGGCTCAGAGAAGTAAAATTAAGTAGGTGAGTAAGACTGGAGCCCAGGAAGACCCGAACTCAAAGGGTGGGATCTTTCTTCTACTATATGTTGCTCAGGGAAGCTTCTGGAACTCAGCTTTAGAGATACAGGGTCTGCCCTGCAAAGTTTGTGGTCTCTGAGGTGCTATGGGACCTGTAAGAGCGAGACAGAGCCCAGACCAGCACGACCCAGAGGCCCCCAGCCTCTCTCGCACGCCCTCCACCAGGCCCGCACCCTGGGCCCACAAGCAAACACCGCAGTCCTGCCAGGGTCTGTGAGCAGATGCAGATTTATTATTGCACAGATTACAACATCCCGGACCCTTGCCCCAAACACCAGCCCCAAAACCAAGCCCGGAAGCTGACAGCCTTGGGCCAGACCAAGAAACCTGGACAATGACTCCAGAGCCCAGGCCTGGAGCCTGTCAGCCCTGAGCAGTGCCCCCAGCCTGCCCCCCTCGTTCCCTAGGAGTCCAGCAAAGCCCAAACACAGATGCAGAGCCAAGGGCCCTGGGTGGATGGGAGGATCCGCAGGCTTCTCTCGCAGAAACGCAGTCCCTGACTCCAGCCGCGCCGAGGCTTCAGCGGGCCTTGAAACAGCATGTGCGCAGCTGGACGGAAGGCCCCAGTACCGAGGGGGAAGGGAAAGCACACCCATCAGAAGCAAACTTCAGGTCGCAGAGCTGGCCTGGGGAGGCCGGGCCACAACTCCAAGGCCCCGGGTCCACAGAAACAAAGGCAGGAGAGCAGCAGCACCTCCAGCTCTGCCTGGGTGTCATTGCCATGACCTTCCCCAGCCTAGAGGGGCCTGGAACATTCTTTCCACCCTCCCGGGGGCAGCTTCTACCAGCCCTCAGCTTCTACCCACCCCCAGCCAGCACAAAGCCCAGAGACCCAGTGTGGTACCAAACATTTGTAATGAGCTGCATGCAAACCTCTTCTGCCACGCAAGCCGAGGGGCTTATCACAGGGACCGCACGGGTGGAGCCCTGGACTTGCTCCTCTCCCCTGGGAAGTGCGTGTTGACAAGCAGCCTGCCTTCAGCACCTGCCTAAACGTCTGGCCCGGGGAAATCTGTCTGGGCTTCCAAAGGCTCCCATGCTCAACGTCCCTGAGCCTGTGGTGGGCCCTGGTTGGGGAAGCGGCCAGACCAACTCACAGGGCCTCACAGTAGCTTTGTCTTGCCAGCCCCCAGGGCTCCTTCCTGTGCAGTGACCCTCGGCACCCTGAACACACTTGAACCCCTAAATGCGATGCCAGCCTCAGGCTCAGGCACACCCAAACACAGGGGCGTCCCAACCCCCCTTAGCTTTTCTTCCCACCCCACCCCCTGGCCACCTGGTCAGTGGCTTCCTAGCCAAAGGCTCTAGTCCCTCCCGTCCCCTCCTCTTCTGTTGGTCCAGAAGGGAAGCTAGCTGGACAGGTGGGAGGAGACAGGAGCACTGCATTCCGGGATATTCAAACCGAGCATGGCCATTTCCTCTACTGTCATCCGGAACACCTGTAAGCAGGGGACAGAGTGTGTGCTGGGTGAAGACAGTGAGAAGAAGGGCCTTTGAATCGTCTGAGGGCGTCACCCTCACTGCTGGCCCACCACAGGGATCTGTCAGCCCAGCAGCCAGAGGTTAAGTTAAAGCGGGAGAGAGGTAGCAGGAAGGGGACCGGGATTTAATATTAATATTCTGGTTTGGTGACTTCTCCCAAAACACACAAAAGCCTGAGGAGGGGGTGACCTACAGGAGCAGATCGGGGCTTCCCCTGCCCCTGGGCAGAGCTCTAGGAGGGTTTCCAGCACATTCTACCCCTCCGGGCACCTCCATCACCCAGCACGGGCGCCCTGGCAGGCCTCCTTAAATGTGTGCAGCATGGGTACGAGCTGGGACCCAGGGCCCTGGGTACAGAGTCCAGTCCTCCTCGGCCACCCTGCCCCGCACTGCAGAACGATGCATCTTCGTGTCCATCGCAGGAACGCCTGGCTCTGCAAAGAGACAGCAAGAAGGTCAGGGGGAGGACACATGGAGGCCGGGCCAGGTTCAAGGCAGGGTTCAAGCCTCGGGCTTGATATTCTCGGGGGCAAGATCCCCCCACGCCCCACCCCCCCAGGGTAGCTTCTGCCCCATGGCTCTGACTCAGTGGGATCAGACACAATTCATTTTCCCTCTGGGTGCTGCCTCTGCTCATTTGCACGCGCTGTTCCCTTTGCTTGGTGCACGCTTCCCTTCCTCCCGCACTGCCAGCCGGCTCACCCCCTCCATCCTTCAGGCCGTTAAGTCCTGGGCCCCCGCGGCACTCACTCCCAGATGCCGCGAAACAGGCAGCATTCACCCCAGGCCGGCCCCTGCCAGGCTAATACTGTCAGTGGCTATGTTTACATGGTGACAGGACAGGGATTCCTTCTTCTCTGGGACAAAGGTGGATCCCCCACCCACACTGAGCTAGGACGAAGGGAGGAGGGCCTTTGGTGGGGGCAGGACAAGAGGCAGAAACCCTGTTAGCATCACCAAGCACAGCATTTACCGTGTAAAGACTGGTCCTAGCAGGAGATTTTATTCGTCTTGTAGATACTTCATCCTGAGACCAGTGAGGACCACCTTCCTTTAACCCAGCCTCCCACTTCACCTCCTTTTCATGGGACCTTACCCAGACCACCCTCCCAGCTCCATCATAGAGAGAAAACCAACTGACTGACAGCAGGGTTTCAGGAAAAAAGGAGTGAGGGACTGGCTGGGGGCTGGGGGCAAGAAAGGGAGGCAGAGAGAAGAGGGTCCGGCCATCCCAGATGAACTGTATCCAGATCTGTAAGGGTCTTGTGGGGAGGGGAGCAAGAACCGTTTTGCTTGACATTTGAACTGCAAGACTTTTACATCATGAGCTATAAATTAAGGGTTTACTCCCACTGTGTTCACCCCATTTCTCAGGACAGGAGTGAGTCCCTTCTGTACCCCTAGATCCCAGCAAAGCAGTTGCTCAGTAAATGCTGGCCAAATGAATGAATACATGAGCGAAGCCCTTAGTGTGTACCTGATAGAAAGCAGGTGCTCTGCAAATGTTGAGCTAATGAGGGGTGTGTGTGTGTGTGTGTGATCAATCTATCAAATCCACATTCTAGGTCCCTGCCTCTGATGGGAGGTGGGCCTCAATTAACCACAAGCTGAAGGCCCAGTAGGCAATAGGCCCTTTTTTCCCAACATTCCAACACCCTGGTGCCCAGAACTTTCTATGGGCTCCCACCCCCTCCCCCAGCCTCACCTGGCAGACGAGGGTCAGGTCAGGAGGTGAACAAAGAGGATAGCCAAGCCGATGTTAAGCAGGATCACCATGCAGATGAGAACAGTGTTGGGGACCTGGAAGCAGGGGAGAGAGGCTATTTGAGTCCCCATGGCCTCTGAACCACCCCCACCCTCCCCATCACCACAGGGTGAACAGAAGAGCAGGAACCTTCAGAGGGACCCTCCTGAGAGCACCCCCTGTCCTGCTCCCTGCTGGGTCTAGCACCTGGATGGCAGACCATCAGAGCTGGAAGAATTCTTGAAAATAATTAACCAAACCACTTAGGGTCCAGAGAGGGGCAAGGACGTGTCCCAAAGCATACAGTGGGCAGTGCTGGGCCTGGAACCCAGGAATGTGGCTTTCCCCACTAATTCATCCGGGGCCACATTCATCAGCCCCTAGGAGCCTAGCTTCACTCTTCGTCACTGCAATTCCTAGGTCCCAGCCTCCTATAACAAACTGGGAGATCCAGGACCCAAGCCCTGGTGGGCCCTTCCTCCACCTCCAGGAAGCCCTCCTTGCTACACCTTGTAGCAGATGCTGCTGATGCCCAGCTAGGATCCCTCTGACCCTGCAGGCGCTCCTACCTGCCCCTCCCCTCCAGCTGCTTAGGGCTCCCAGCTGCCCCCTTCTCCAAAGAACTGCCCCCTGCTGACCAGAGATGGCAGGTACAAAGGCGGGTCCCCTGCCCCCCTGGGGGGTGGGGGTGGGGACACTCTGCAGTGTAATTTACGCTCCCAAGGCTACCGGGGACCAGGCTGCATCTGACAGCCCACATGGGCGCCGTCACCCGAATCCCGCCTGAAGCGCCACCACCCGCAGGCCCCGGGCCCCCCGCCGCAGCC